TGTTACTCTTATGGTGAACTTGATCAACACACAACTTTGTGTACTCGATCTCCTAGTCCTTCACTTGATACTTTGTCAACGAATTTGTCTAATTTCCAAATATGAAATTTCTCATTCATCATGCAACCAAGTTGCGTGATTCCAAATTTCAGTCCAATTGAAACTTTGGGCGATGAGAAACTCTCCCTATTTGGTAAATTCTCGACATTTCCATAAATAACATAACTAAGAATCATATACATTCGTTGTAGAAATATGCAAATATCAATTTTCATAACGATTTCATTGCAAGGAAGTAAACAAATAAATAAATAAGTCAAACAAAATTTATTTTATTTATAAAAGCAGCGGAAAAAGATTTGTCCTTACAATGCAAAATCTATTGAAAACTATGAAAAAGGAAAATTTCTAACAACTCTATCATAACTATCTAAGCTCAAAATCCAATCTTCAAGTCCATGCGATCGAGATCCATCTCTTGTGATTAGATTCATCTTGCTCTCTTATCAAGCTTCCTTTCTTTTCTCCGATCCTGCAAAACATTTAAATGCAATCTTATCACATCATGTATTTAGAATCAATGAATAGGAACTTAACGGAGTTAGATAGTGGATTTTACCTGAAGTGTAGTCATACTTTTGACTCTCCCATATATCTTAGATCTCTTAGGTAAATAGGGCAACTTCGTCTCCAATGCCCCTTCTCTTGGCAATAAAAGCAAATTAACTCTTTAGGAACAACACATGGAACTACTTCAAACATCGCCTTTCTCTTATGATTAAACATTTCAATCATTGCATGTCTTTCATTGCCATTGTCTATATCCATAGTGGTCTTGAAGGCAGATTCATCAATCAACTTTGCTTTTCTATTGCGCCAAACCATTGCTGATTCAGCAGCAATAAGCATATAGGTGAGATCAATAAGGGTCACGTCGTGGTTCATCATATAGTACTCTCTTACGAACTCACTATACGAGTTAGGAAGTGACTGAAGAACCCAATCAACAGCCATCTCTTCACCAACAACGGATCCCATCATTCTTAACTTATCAATGTCTGACTTCATCCCTAAGACGTGTGCACACACCGACTTTCCTTCTTTATGTTTACTTGCCAATAGGGCTTGAGTGATATTGAACCTTTTAAATTTTCAATCTTGTGGGTTAGGGAGAATAATTGGATGAGGAGGAGGAAGAAGTGAAGCATGATTTCTTGTTCCTCGATCGACTCTCGTGGAATATCATCTTCATGTGGAATGCTTGTTCCACGGGATTTGGGAAGACCATAGTTGTCGAACTTTGACATCTATAAAACGGGAGAAACAAATTCAAGTTAGTTGATTGATTGATAGAGTCCTTAGTAAATCACCCAAATGAGATACTAAGGCTAGGACCCAACACAATACGCTACAACCTAGAAAAGGGATGCCGTAATCTAGTTGCAGAATATTTGAAGGTAAGTGAATGACGATTCACCAATTTCCACCATGAAAAACAAAAAGAAAATTAAGTTTTAAATCTATGAAAACTCCTAGATCCTTTGAGATTTATTGAACATTTCAATGGCATGTTTAAATCTCGATATGCCCCTCTTGTTTGTGACTGGGATGCCGAGGATCACAAAGCGGGTGTGAATAACCATCCAAACTTACATGGTGCCCTCACATGTTACAGTCACCTATTCGATGTGTCGGTAAACCACACACACTCCACCGAACTATGAAAAACACAGAGTCACCCTTTGCTACCTTTGCTTAGAACCATTTAGTGTGCCGGTAAACCACACACGCTCACTAACGTCTTCGCAAGGGCACAAAGTGTAATTTCATGGAATTGCATCAATTCACATTTGCCTAAGTAACTAAGATTGGGAATTTGAAAAACATTTAGTTACTTTGTATTTCATTATACTTATAATGGACGGTTTTGTCCTATCCTACCCGTTCGGCTAACGACCCTCCACTAGTCAAGAGTGCGGTGGGTAAGAGTGGATACCCATTCAATCGCCATATTATAGGCAATTTCCTTAAACACCCCTTATAGACCAGCTTCGTGAATGGGGCCTACTACCGGTAAGACTGACTTTTGCTCATACATATATCTAATGTTAGACTTTTAATGTTATATATATATATATATATATATATAGTATAGGGTGTATTTTACACTTTTAAAATACTAGGTGGTTAAAAAATTAATAATTATACTTTTAATTCAATTAAATTTCAAACCAAAACTTTTATGGATTTATTAAACCTCTTTTAATTATACACCATAATTAATTAATAAAACCATAAGGGTGTGAATTGAACTTTTCAAAACATTACTAGGGTTTTAGAATTTAACATTCCTAATTAAACTTTTAATCAACTTTTAAATTCCAAAACTTGAGGGCAAGTTTTGAAACATTTCAAAACATTAGGGTTTAGAATTTAAATATATACCACAATTAAACAATTAATCAAAATTTAAATTCCAAAACTTGAGGGCAAGTTTTGAAACCTTTTTCAAAACATTAGGGTTTTAACTATTTAAATTTCAAAACTTCAAAACTTTTGGGTTCAAATTTAAACTATAAAACCTAAATGGGAAAATATGAAACTTTTCATAACAACAAGGATCAAATAACAAATAATTCAAATTAACATTTAATCACATAATTATCCATATTTGATTTATTTAATGATTTCCTGCAAAACAATTTATCAATTTCCTCAAAATAATTAATCAATTATCTTATAAGGAAACAATTATCTTATTAATTGATAAATATCTTCATTTAGATCAAAAATATAGTCAAATATATCATATAATCGGATTAATATTGATCTAACATGATAAGGTAACTATCCATATGCAAAAACAGCAAGAAATCCCGAGATAAGCACTATCTGACGAGATGACTCGTCGAGTCAAGCCTGGACTCATCGAGTCACCCTGGACTCGGCGAGTCCAACCTCTAGAACACCAAAAATCGAATTTTTTAGATATACAATGCAGCAATACAATTGAAACCATCCTAGGCTTTGATACCACTGATGGGTTTTGGTCATAAGACATCCTATGTGCTCATACAAACCCTAATGCTTGGATCTAGGTTTCTCTATTGTGCATGCTTTGAATCCAAGACTATAAACCCTAATTCTAGTATATGGAAATCGATATTAACATATAATTAGGTTTAAGATGTTACCTTGATTTTTATATAGCAATAACAATCCCAATTCCTCCTTGAATTGACTTTGGAATGCTTAGAGTCACAAGTGTCACTCCTCTAATGGCTTACAAACACCATAAGCAAGAGGATGAAGTGGAGAGAGGTTGGAGGCTGCCCAAAAATGTGCAAAACCCTAGAAAGATCATTAGCCACATTTTTGGGTCATAAGGGTCTTATATATAGTAAGGCTATTAGGGTTATCTAACAAGGAAACCCTAATTTGGATGCTTAAGCCCTAAGCAACCCATGGAACCCTTTCTTTAAGCCTTGGACAATTTCATATGGGCTTCCCCGTAGAATTCGTCCACCCCTTAATATAAGGCAATCCATGGCCCAAATTATAATTATCTTATAATTACAATTCCAGTCCCTTAAGTTTAATTAATCTCTTTTAGTCACAAAACTAATTACCAATTAATTATTGACTAATATTAATTAAACAATATGATTTCTCCTTTAATATATTATTCTCATAATACATTAATAAATCATATTTAATCCTTTCTCTCCATAATTCATCCTATCAAGTTGCTTTGGTGAAGGCAACCCAAAAGGACCATGCACCATCGGGTCAAGTACATACCAAAATAGTTATGGACTTAGACACTAATCCAACAGATTTTACATACCTTCCCTTTCCCTTGTTCATTAAATACTTCACTTCCAATATACGCTGCAAAAGCCATTAAACAAAAATAACATTCCATATACTCGGCCCCATGGTTCAATGCCACCCACCTTTCATGTGGCTCAACATGCTATTGATAAAATAAGTTTCTATACTGCAGTACAGCCTGGCGTATATTTTTATATTATGAACATCTATCAATCACCGCATCTAAAGCTTCTCAACATTCCACGCCATTATAAAAAAAACCTTGTTATTTTTTATACCAAAAGAATTATTCGAATTCACTCTTGGTTTCCCTTTATCAACACTTGATGTACAGTTGTCTGAGTTGCTAGTTCGCCACATGCCATGTCATCGATTAGAATCCTAATGGGCCGTCTATGGTCAATTCGGAGTTTGAACAAACATGCAATTACAGTCCTAGTAGTTGTCCTCCTTCTGCCCATTTGACAATTGAATACAAATATTGTATCTTTTGATGTTGATGAGATATTGAGAGCCAATATGTCGAAATCTGAACTTTTTGTAGCTTTTCCATCCGTAATGGGTACACAAGTAGACTTTACAGGAAACTCATCTGCCTCTAACGATCTGAATACCTCCAGTGGGGTCTGAACCATATCACAAATTACATGCTCCCAAGTATCAAATATCTTTCCATCTTCAGTTTCATGAATTACCATAATATCACACATTCAGATTCATTGAGAATATCTTCTTTCAGTAGAGCTTCCATTCTCTCCACTCTATCACAGTCAATTCACTACATTAAACCACTTGACACTTGAGTATATTTGAATAATAAACAATAAAAATGAGAGAGGATTATTATTATATAATGTATACTCGAGCATTTTTTTAGGGTCTTACAACCTCATGAAGCACAAAGGGCTTTCCATTAATGTAAATAACAGGTTCTTCTCTCATGTTGTGCCAAAAGACAGTCTACCCACGCCACCTTTAGAGCTACATATTCTGTGCATAACAGATTTAATTCCTTCCATAGTTGGATTTGTAACAGCATAGACTGGGAACCCAATGATTTCTCTAAAATTAGGTGTGCCCTCTACTCTCTTGGGAATATTCGGTTATTGACACCCTGGACAATGATCACTTTTTAAAACTGTTTGACTTCCTAAGACCTCACCAATTCATAATACTACAACTATTTCCATCGCACAAGGGTGACCATCATTATTAGGTGTGCTTATTTTGTTTAATGGTTTTATATTTGCATATCCAAGTGCACCCATTGGATCCCTTCTCAACAACCTGTAATAGCAAGATACAACTTTTTTAGGACATGAAAATTCATGAAAGTGTGTTACTGTTATGTATACCTGCGAATAATGGTATAGAGCTCAGGTCTTGCTTTCATCCAATCATAGAAATTGATATTGTTATTGGGAGAGGATTTATAAATATGAACTGCTCTTTCTGTATGGAGATATACAGCAAATCATATAAGGTAGTAATATCTTTCAAGGTACTCAACAAAAAAAGAAAGCAACACCTTTCGCTTCATCTCATCAGGTTGTCTCAAAATACTATTTCTATATGTTGCAATTTCCTCACGTAAATTATGCCTGGAGGCACACTTCTCAATCACTTTGTCCACCTGTTGTTTGCCTTCAACATCGCCCTAAAACAATGTCAATCAAAAAGAAGTTACTCAAGAATGTTGTTATAATGGGAAATTTGTAAGGACAAAGGTTCATTTGCATACCTCTAAGACACGGATTAAGTTTCTTATGATAATATATTCCCCTCTAAGAAGAGCCTCTTCTGTGTTTAGCATGTTGTCAATAGCATTTGAGCCACAGACAGAAATTGTTCCAATTGAATTTGTCCTTAGGTTACCTAATAATAAGATATTGTAAAATCACGCAATCATATAACATAAACTTCACAGAGAACAAAAAATTACAAGAAGCTCCTATTTGGTTGAAATAGATCAATGTTGCAATGACCATCCGTGTAGTATTACACCCACGCCTCATTTGGCAATTAAAGATTATTTCTGTCTTGAGATCAGCTCTTGAAATTCTATCAACTTGTAAAGATCATAAAACACAAATCATATATAAAGTATAATCTAGGTTAAATATTTTCATTTTGTTAAATGAAAATAGCACTCACCAACGTATCAAAATCATATTACTTGGGTGATTTTTTATCTGTTACTTGAATGTGTTCGTAGTCAACAAGGAATATTCTTGCTTGGAGATCTAAATAGACCTACAATAGTGAAAGGCATTATGAAATAGATATTCAAAATGAACATTTAATTTCATAGTATGTGGAACCTGTAGTGGTGTTTTGACAGAGTCGGGTGTGACTGGATCCCATTGATCCACCATTTGACCATCTGGTAGTTCATCAGTTACTAGGATCTTATTTCCATATTTGTTATCGAGATGGGTATTGAGATGATAAGAAAAATGGGTATCAAACACAGAAACATGCTAAAAAGAATACCTTGCAGCTTCTGAAAATATGTCTTCCTTTAACCGACCTTCCATTCGCTCCACCCTATCCCTATTGATACCCTATTCATAACATCAAAGTTTAGATATAAAACGTGATAAATCAGCATGTTTATGAACAAAAAGAAAATGTGGCAAAATACTATAAATTTGAAGTGGAAGTTAGGATTTGAGGAGAAAAAATAGGCACACACCGTGTATTCAAGATTGGAGAAGGGTCTTTCAACCTCGCGCAAAACAAATGGTCGTCCGTTGATATAAACCACCTGTTCCAAGAAAGAGTTTTGCCATTGTTATGTAGGACATCGAATCCTAAAGTTATTTCCATAAACAAGTGGAAGCATGAAAAAAAAATAATTTGCCAACCCTAAAAAGTTATTGTCAGAAAGAAAGGAATAAGTTATTTCCAACCATCTGGATAATCCATGAAAAAGATTCTCTAATGTAAAGAAGAGAGAGATTTAGGGTTGTAGTGGTTAACTGCGAGAGGGATTTAGGGTTTCCTTCGGTTACCCTCTTCACATCTTCGTAACTCTTCATATGGTGGAGGATAAATATGAGAGAAAACCTAGTGGAGAAGGAGAGACGAGAAGGTGGAGGTGTCGATTAGGGGTTGTTCAACTGGTAGCTTCAATTGACGGTTGATGAGTCGTAGTTTTCGATCGGTGCTACAATCGAAAAGAGTTTCAGTTTCCAAACCATTTAGTGTGAGGATAGATTTGGAAGAAATATCAAACCCTTAACCTTAAACATGATGTGAAGTGATTGATCCATAATCTTCTTCGTCTCCGTCAATTCCTTGGGCTCACATAAATGGACGATGCTGGTAAATGAAGCGTTCTTCAGAAGGAAGGTGCATCGCCACAGTTTGAGGCTAGAAGAGGCAATGAGGTGGATGCGGGTGAGGGGTCGAGACGTGGGAGAAAAAGGAGGGGTTTTAAAAATTTGGGGATTACATTTTCCACTAAGGAGAAGCGCGTTTCTTAAAAAAAAAAGATACAAAGTGGCATTCATAGAGGACGCACATTTTAGATAAAGTGCCTTCCATGTTTTTTTGTTTTTTTTACATGAGACACTAATTTAAGGGCACGAAATAATGCTAGACTTAAATCCTTCAATTTTTTGAAGAGATGACACTTTTTTTATGTCACTCTCTTTTTTGTAACATAAATCAATGAGTACTGTGGTTTGCGCGTCATAAAAGGGTCTTTCTCTTGTAGTGGTTACAAGTTTCTAAATATATATCTAATCACTAAAACTAATATCATCCTTCAGACCAATGCTTCTTGCATGCTAAACGTGCTTAACCCTACTAAGACCCTTTTGTGAGGGTATCTGCAAGATTCTTTTCTGATGATACCCTCTTAACGACGAGGTGTCCTTCTACTTGATGTTTGATAAAGTGTTATTTTTTGTAGATATGTCTAGATCTCCCATGACCCCTTAGTTTCTTGGTCAAGGCAACCGCTCCTTCATTATCACAGAAAATCTTTACCGGCTCCTTAATGTTTGGCACAACTTCAAGGTGTCCAAAGAAGTTCTTCAACCATATAGCCTCCTTCGATGCTTCGCTCGCAGCTATATACTCTGATTCAGATGTAGAATCAACCACAGTCTCCTGCTTGGAATTTTTCCAAGTCACAGCTCCTCCATTATGGGTAAACACCCAGCTAGAATGAGAACAAAAGTTGTCTCCGTCTGTCTGAAAGCTAGCGTCTCTATACCCAGTAGCTATTAAGTCATCAATGTCACCAAGCACAAGGACCCAGTCCTTAGGTCTTCACAGACACTTAAGAATGTTGTTGACAGCTATCAAATGAGTTTTACCCAGATTTTGCAAACATGTAATAGGTCTTCGCAAACACCCATGCTCAAAGCAAAATCCATTGGCGGAAGCAAAATCCATGCTTAAAGCAAAATCTAGTAGCCATTAGGTCTTCGAAAATGTAACGCTTGTGTTTCTAGGCTTGTCATTAATGTGGATATAATAGTCTAGGTTAACCTTTGTAACCTTTTTTGAAATAATAAAGATGTATTATTTGAGTAATATGCGTTTTCTGCTTAGTTGTGTGACTTAATTGAATTAAGAATAAAATTAAGCATCAAAATGAAATGATAGATTAGCTCGACATCTATGGATAATGTTGTAATAGTTGAAATGAGGTTTCTTAATATATAAAGAATGCCAAAATCCGAGTTATAACGAAGAAGTTATGACCTATCGAAGTTTTGCGACAGAACCGGCAACGCTAAATGACGTAAAAAGTTAAATTTATGTTAGAGCGATATTTAGCCTTAGTGTTCTAAACGAAAGTCATAGATTTCGTTAAACTGAGAGCCTGCATAAAAAGAACGCCCAAATCGGACTTCGTATGAGGAAATTATGATTTTTCGAAGTTTCGACATAGCAGTATGCAGCCCAAATACTAGATTTGAGATCGAGCGGTTTTTAGCTGAAACAATCAAAATGAGAATCGAAGATCTCGTTAATTGTAGTGAAACAATGAAAAGATAGGAGAAAACGGACGTCGGATGAAGAAGTTATGAATTTATAACGAAGTTTTCCTGTCTCGGCCTACTAAAAATAAATAATAAAAATAAAAGCTAAAATTAGCCGACGGAGTCTAAACGAAAGTTGTAGAGCGTAGTCTCACATATGCGTGGATATAAAGAACGTCAAAAACGGAGTTCGTATGAAGAAGATATGAATATTTGAAGTTTATTAAATAATTAAAATATAAATTTAATTATTAAACCTGATATTATCTGAATGGGAGTCACCAGACTTATCCGGGTTACGCTAGCATAAGGTTGTACGCCCAACGTACAGCGCAGCATGACGTGCCTCGCACTCGAGTTCTTCGGATACGTAAGCAGTGATGAACTTCTGAGGCGTACGCCGCGCGTAGAGCATTACGCCCAGCGTAATGCGAGGCCTCAGCCTCCTATAAAAGGATTGCGAGGGCACCGAACTCCATTTGCCAAATTCTCTTTTCTTTCTCCCATTTTGCATCGTTTTGCATGCCAGAAGTATCCCGAAGCCCTAATATCAATCCCGAGCCTCGAAGCAAGTTTCGAAGCCCCGAAGATCCCGAGAAGTGCAATTCCCGAGCCGAAGCTCTACTCGGGAAAAGCCCGGTTTTTGTGGAGATCTTCCAGATCTACCGAAGAAACTACCTCTGCAAGTCGTAGTGCTGTCCGATCATCTTCTGATCAAGTGAGTGTGTACTTACTTTCTTCTAACGCATAATTATAAAGTATTTTATATAAAATACGTGTTATCTGTATATTTTTGTTGTTATATGTGTGAATGTATATTCACTTTCTTCTATCTCCTAGATCTGATTTATTCTCTATGAAATATGTGTTATGTTTGTGTGCATCATCTGTTATGTGGAATATGTATTGATTGAACATGTTATACTGGTTTTAAACTATGTATAAATATATATTTTTATCTACTAATATGTTGGGTAGAACATGGGTAGATAGTTGATGTGTGATAAACAGATGAGAGGCCTCGATGTTGTTAATGTTGACCTAGTCATCTAGCGGAGTATGGATGACAACCACAGGCTCTTTCTAGACAGTCTAGTTGAACGCTAGCAGGTTCATAACGTGTAAATGTTGTGAACGATGTGTTCACCGGTGTACTCTATCCCCCTCATGGTTGCCTTTAGGATATCTATTGTTGAGGAAACCCCTTGGCAGTAATGTCCGTCCCGATGAAAATCCTAGATTTGGTCCCTTGAAATAGATGTTGTTGTAGGGACATAAAGTGAGGATAACGGGAATGGGTAATCGGGTTATTGTTGGTTGGTGAAATTAAATATTATTATTTATTGTGGGTTGAAAACCCTATATTGTAACGCCCGCGTTTCCAGGCTAGGCATTACCGTTAATGTAATAGTCTAGGTTAACCCTTGTAACTCTTTTTGAAGTATTAATGATGAAATATTTGAGTATTATGTGAATTATGTGTTTATTTTCTTAATTATTATAATTTAATGAATTAAGAATAAAATAAGCATCAAATTTGAAGTGTGGGATAATCCCGATATCTTTGCATAAACATGTAGTGGTCGAAACAAGGATTCTGAAGATATAAAGAATGCCGAAATCCGAGTAATAACGAAGAAGTTATGACCTGTCGAAGTTTCGCGACAGAATCGGCAACGCTGTATGACGTAAAAAGTGAAATTTATGTTAGAGCGATATTTAGCCTTAGTGATCTAAATGAAAGTAGTAGAGTTCGTTAAACCGAGAGCGTGCATAAAAAGAACGCCCAAATCTGACTTCGTATGAGGAAGTTATGATTTTTCGAAGTTTCGACTTAGCAGTATGCAGCCCGAATACTCAATTTGAGATCGAGCAGTTTTTAGCCGAAACAATCTAAATGAGAATTGAAGGTCTCGTTAATAGTAGTAAAACGATAAAAAGATAGGCGAAAACGGACGTCGGATGAAGAAGTTATGAATTTATAACGGAGTTTTCCTGTCCAGGCCTACTAAAAATAAATAATAAAAATAAATTCTAAATTAGTCGACGGAGTCTAAACAAAAATTGTAGATCGTAGTCTCACCTACGCGTGGATATAAAGAACCTCGAAAACAGAGTTCGTATGAGGAAGATGTGAATTTTTGAAGTTTATCAAATATTTTCGATATTTAATTTAAATATATATTATCCGATATTATCCAGGGGGGAGTCAGCGACCCTATCGTCATTACGCCCAGCGTAATCTCAAGTTACGCCCAGCGTAATTCGACCTTCCAGCCCCTATAAAAGGGTGTCAAGGGCAACCGAGTTATTTTCTCATTTCTTCCCTTTTTCTCGCGTTTTTGCATCATTTTTCGTGCAAGAATTATCCCGAAGCCCCAGTATCATTCCCGAGCCCCGAAGCAAGTCCCGAAGCCCCGAAGATCCCGAGAAGTGAGATTCTCGAGCCGAAGCTCTGCCCGCAAGGAGTTCGGTTTTTGTGAAGATCTTCCAGATCTGCTGAAGAATACTACTTCAACAAGTCGTAGTGCTATCCGATCATCTTCTGATCAGGTGAGTGTGTGGTTACTTTCTTCTAACGCATAATTATTAAGTATTTAATATAAAATACGTGTTATGTGTACATTTTGTTATTATATGCGTGAATGTATATTCACTTTCTTCTATCTCATAGATACGATTTATTCTCTATGAAATATGTGTTATGTGTATGTGTCTCATCTGTTGTTTTGGAATATGTGTTGAATGAGAATGCTATGCAGGTTTTAAACTATGTATAAAAATATATATTTTTATCTACTAATATGTCGGGTAGAACATGTGTAGGTAGTTGACGTGTGATAAACAGATAAGAGGCCTCAATGTTGTTTTTGATTCAGTCATCTAGCGGAGTTTAAATGATGACCACAAACTTTTCTAGACAGTCCCGTGGAAGGCTAGCAGGTTCGCCGCCTATAGGTGTTAATGAACTTGGGTGTTCATTCACTGTACTCCATCCCCCTCATGGTTGTCTTATTTGACATATATTGCCGGGAAACCCC